GCGCTCCCGGGCCTCACACAGATCTCTGCGCCTCCCCTCCTTCTCTCTGTCCCAGAGTTCTCCCAGGGGAATTCCCAACACGGGTCGATCTTCCCAGTTTCTTGAATCCCGGTCCCAGTGCACACCTGTTGGCCTCTTTGGTGGGACTGCCTCCCGGATAGCTCCGCCTCCTCCTTAGGCCCCTTGTTGAGACATTCCAATATCCAGGGGTTTTCTCCTGTTGGGCATGCCTTCCAGCGGGTCATCAGGGTTCCAGGAGAGATTCTATACCAGACGGGGCCCCACCCGCAGGACTAGCCAAGCTTTGGTATGTCCCAACCTGGACGCTCGAGACAGCTCTATGGAAAAGGGGCGTTGGTTCTTACCTGATACGCTTCTTTTCATGGAGCTGTCGAGAGCGTCCAGCCCCACCCGTAGGCCGTCTGGTGGGAAACCTGGCTGTTCGACCGAGCAATCTAATATATTTTTTTCCTGAGTGTGATGAGAACAGGACTTTCCTTCTCGTCTGTGCAAAAACCTGGGGAGCGCCCGAGGACCACGTGACGGTGAGGGGGCGTTCCTCAATTTCAAGCTCAGCCTGGAAGAGCCGAGACTGGAGCTCCTCCCAACCTGGACGCTCTCGACAGCTCCATGAAAAGAAGCGTATCAGGTAAGAACCAACGCCCCTTCTCCATGTCCATGGTGTTTACTGCCTTTTAATTTTTTTTCAGGCTTTTTTAATGCCTCTGTTTGGAAGTGAGTTGCTAGGGTTTGACAAAGAATAGCAATATACACAGATTAGCTATATGACAGTTGGGAAGGGAAAAATAAGGACAAAATAAGCCTCAAATGTTATCTTCAAATATGAAGCAATACTTTAGGGAACTATGTCTGTGATGAGTTATAATATTAATAACCATTTCATTTTAGTAATCTATGTCCGCAGCAGAGAAATGTAAAAAGCCATAAAACATTCAGACAAGCAGCAGATGAGTTGTTCGGTGTGGTGTGTGGGAAGGCTGCATTCAATAATTAAAGTTAATTTTATACCAATGGAATTTTGTATTGAACGGCAGCATAAAATGGACTAAATTCTCAAATTAGGAAAATGATGGGCAATTCGGTTTTGTAGTATTCTATATGAATCAAAGGGAATAAATTTGAATCTAAGAAAAATAACAAGAAGAGATGCCTAATAGGTGATGCCTATCAGCTAATTTTGCCCATGTACATGTTGGAGAATCAAGTGATAAAAACTTTTCTGGATCGTGTCACTTCAGAAAGCAAAGCTTGAATATTTCATTTCTAATTTCATCTCATCCACCAAATGAAAAAACTGAAATGTTGGAGGAAAAATTTAACTTGTCTCTCTCTTTCTCTCTCATTCACACTATTTTATATTTGAATAGGGGGCTTTATTCTCACAGTTTTCCAGTGGGACAGTCCAGGAGAAGTTTCAGGATTAGAAAGGGATGTATTATTGGGAGAAAAGGAAAAGGGGCAAGGAGCAAGGGGTGGAAAGGAAAGGAAAGGAAAGATATAAATGCAAATATGTTTCAAGTCGTGATTTTATTAGTGCAGAATCAAATAACATATAACTCAGGGAATCCAAAACATATTCAGATACAGGGCAGAGCATGTGGAATTTTTATCTATGACTAATATGGGGAAAAGTATAGCGCTTGATTTTAGTTGTCCAAAGCACAGCAATGAAAGAACAAAAACACAGAGCAACTGGAGAAAGACAGCAGCTTGGCTCTAGGGAAGAGAAAGGATCCCAGAAGGCAGTTTCCATTGGGAAATTGCCCACCTTAATATTCCAGAGAAAATGCAGCAAGCTGATTTTGAGCCAACAGTTCATCAGCTCAGCTGCTCAATCAGCAGTGTTGAGGAGATACCTGATTTCAGCTACAGAGATTTTGTATCTTTGTATCTTAGCTCAATTCCCTTATATTTCTATTACAAAAGAAGGGAGGAGAAGCCTCGCTGAACTCAACCAAGTTCACATTTGCTGTGAGATCTGAATCAGGGACTTCTTGGTTAAACACCTTGTACTTTTGCTCTCCGATACTACTTTAGTTCTCAGTAAAACAGTAGCCAGTGATATGGTGCAGCGATTACACAGATTGTGGCACCAATTTTGAGAGACAATTGTCAGTTGGGGAAAAATGCTGGATGACTAACATACTGCCAACAGCCAGAAAGTTTCTTTGGGGACTTGGGAATTTGATAATGATAAGGAAATACACACATGCTCATTCTTTGATTACAACTATTGGCTCCAAATTCTCCAAAGAAGCCTTCTTGTGCACAGATGCACTTCATATGTGTTATATTAGTTCCAACCACTTGTAGCCAATAATGACTAAGGATGGTGGCAGCTATAGTCAAAAACATTTACAATACTTCAAGCCTGGAAAAGCCATAGCAATTGATCTGAAACATTCACCATAAAGCCCATCCACCAGTCAGGAATCTGTTCCACTTTTGAAGTTTAGCTTAGTAAAATGAGAGAATCCCAAGATAAAACAGGGCACATAGCCTACATATTGCTTATTGTCCAGATGCAAAAGGAACATATGAGTGAACCTTGCGCTTAAAAGTTCTAAAGGAATGGCACATTCTTTTGAACTGGGTAAATGACAGATCAGAGAAGCAAGCTTTTCCCAAAATGAGGGACTCCAGATGCATTGCCTTTACTGGCTGAGAATTCTGGGATCCAAAATAACGACATTACAAAGCCTGACCTGATCTGTTGCTTTGCCAAGTGGGATGTAGTTGCTAAGCCAGCCTTAAGTGCTTATAGAAAAATCATGGGGCCTTTTTCTTCTGCAGAAAGAATGGAATTGCTCCTGAGAAAGAAATAACAAAACCTCAGTGGTGCTGTTTCCAAATAGTTAATTTCATAGAACAGAGAGATTCTCTTCTTACTTGAAGTCTTTATGGAAAACACTCAGGGGAGTGCAACAGTCACGTAACTGAGCGAAACAGAGATATACTTCAACATTATTAGAATGGGATGGTGGGGTGGGAGAAACCATCTGCTCTTTTTCATATTGTGGCAACATCACACAAATTCCCTTCTTGCTGTTCTAACAAAAAGTAACTACACTGGCAATCAGCAAAATCAGCCTTTCCCTTTCCATTGTATAAGCAGTGGTAGGAAATCCACTGCTTATAACAGCCATTAGATAGAACTGCATGCTTCCAAGAATGCATGATTCATAAACTTGTGTTGAATAAAACATATTCATCAGGAAAAGAGTATTGTGTGAATCTAAAAATAGATTAATTTACTAATCAAATAAGTCTACATGAACCCAGCTTTTAAGGCATTCAATGTGGAGCAATGTCACTTTTCTTCTTCTACTTTGAATGGGGAAGCAGTATTTTGTTTATTTATTCTATTGTTTTTTACCCCATCTTGCCCATAGAGCTTGCAAGTTAGATCAGTTCAGGATATCAATTTCATAACAAAATACAAAACAATAAAATAACCACAATGATTCACTAAAGCAAGTTAAGGTCCTTAGATAAAAGGAAAAGTAGTGGAAAACTACTCTTCCCCCAATGCAACACGGCAGGTATATCCCTGCTAACCATCTTGCTCTAACTGCCCTAAAACCTCTTGCAAGGGCACCGAGTCACTCGGGCAGCTCAGCTGCTTATGAGCGGGAGGGGGGGGGGGGGAGGAAAGACCTCAGGGGCCAGATATCCTCTCATAAGGAAAATTGTCTTCCACAAGTTCCACAATCCTCCAGGGTCTGCAAACTGCTAAACTGTGCAACAGTTCATGTGTAAGTGTCCGTCTCTTGTGATGATGCCTTTGATAAGTGCCAAGAACAATTTACAGATCCAAAATTAAAACATCTACAGGTTTCTTCTTCATGATTTTTTGTGGGGGGTGGGGGGTGGGGGGGGAGAGACAGCAAAACCTGTGAGGAAAATCAGGAGGTTTGTAAAGAGAAGGGACCCTTCAAGTACAATTTGCATTTAAGGGCAAATACCTTTCTCCTTCACATCTTTCCCACTCATAATGTTACATCACGGAACTGAAGAAATAAGGCACAGGATTCCCCCCAGCACCCACACAGCAGCAGTTGTGTGTGAAAATATATAAGAGTAGGAAGAGAGGAGTAGGAGGTCTTATTTTTAAAAGCAACAAGTTTGTGTTTCAGGGAGAGGACAGGAACGGAAACCTGCCCACCCATCTACAGCTTCTATCTCTTCTGTTTCTCATTCCAGGTTCCCTTTTCTCTTCTGGCATTTCAATCCCAGAAATGACCTATCAGGAAGTAAAGTTGAGAGTCTGCAGAACAACCTACAAAAGTTGACTGAATTTTTCTTTCTCCCCCCACTCCAATGTCTTAAATTCAGCCCCTTAATTCGTCTTCTCATGTGGCTCCTATGTGCTGGGCTTCAACATCCAGAGTTACTGTTCTCATGTCTCACTTTGGCCTTAACTTCTGTTCTTCTGCATCGGATTTTCAATTCTAGCCGTATTCACATCAACTGGGTGAACTGGAACCTTTCCATCAGCCTATGCAGCTTTATGCCAGCTACACCGATGTCATGTTTCAGTGTTTCTCAACTTTGGCCACTTGAAGACGTCTGGACTTCAACTCCCAGAATTTTTCAAGCAGCCAAGATTGAGAAACACTGCCCTTATGTGCTATGCTAGCACAAGGGAATGTAAAAGCAACCCAATGGACACATATTGAGTGTGAGTGAAGCTTTCTAAGTGAAGCTTTCACACCCTTCAGTGGTGCCACAACAAATGAACAAGACATCTCAGCCATTTTTAACCAACAGAATTTTCATCAAATGCCTTTAACCTAGTCTGCTTTTCAGATGATAAAGAAGCACACACACACACAATTACCAAGGCACGAGACAAGAAGGTGACTTGCAATAATTGTAAGAGGCAGTAAAGCAGAGTGAAATCCAGGAGATACGATCTGCTGGAGAGTCACCACTTTTCTGAGACACGGATTTTTTCCATTAACACACAAGTTACATACCTCTCTCCACTGCTTGGTCTCTATGCCCTGAGTATACAGCACACACACTGTAAAAGAAAAAAACAACAACCACAAGTTAACTAAGCCACTGGCACAGAGAAAAGAATTTAGCTCTAGTGCCACACAGCACAGATTGTATTACGCAGACTTCACAAGCTTCTGCAAGATCAAAAGCTAAACGAAACTACTGAAGCTTGATCTCCCCCACTGATGAGGGGGGTGAAGTGGGGGTGCGACTGGATTCCTGAAAAATGTAAAGCTATGGTTCATTATTTCTTTATCTGCCCCCTTTTTCTTTTAAAATGTTGTTTATTGCTATGTACACAAAGATAGCATCTAAGCTTTTTCCATTTTGCTATTAATGAAAAACATTTTCCTGGAAACTCAAAAAGGTAAGGATGGGGAGGATTTGAGGTCTAGGTTATAATGAAAAACTGAAAAGGAAACTAATTGCAACAAATGCTAGAACTTTTGATTAGGTGCAAATCACATTTACGAAGCACATTTTGAACTGTGTGACATCTTAAGCATCCATCATCGTGGGGTTTTTTTGTATTTGTGTTTGATCTTCACAATAATCTTATGAGATAAACTGACTGACAGAAAATGGCTAAGCAAGTATTTCAACTCAACATCCCAACCATTCTGCCCCATCAGCTCAAAAGAGTGGATCCGTTTCTGTTACTTTTGCATCTCAGCTCCAATAATCTGCATAACATCGATTTCATAAGTATGACTGATTGCTATTGTTCTCCCACATAATGGAATAGCACAAGAGTTATTTGCCTTAGCTTACATGAGGAAAAAGAGAGGCTGTTTTGGAATCAGAAGTTATATCACATTCAACTGGGAACTACAGCATGCCAAGCCTAGTTTTATACTAAAATTAGTCTCTCTAGAATTCTTGTCAGAAAGAACACAAAACACTGTAGCTTAATTCCACCCAAATTCATTAGATTCACTGGATTTACCCTGTTGAATCAAACTAGACTTGGCAAGATGGGTAGCATAGCACTTTAATAAATAAACAAACATGGAAAATTCAATCCCCAATTCCTCCAAAAAAAAAAAGTAAATGATTTGGGATTCACTTTTTTCTCTCAGCTATATATTTTTCTGAAGACTTCTCAGCTTAACCTATTTTTTGTGTAGATAATACAAAGTAGGGGGGAAAGACTCATGTTTATTACATTGAGTTCCTAGAATAAAAATAGAATATAAATAAAAGGAATAATTAAACCAATAACCTTTGGGTTCTGGCCTTATTTTACTGTCCAAACCCATAAAGAGAAACCTCTGCTGTCCTTCCTGGGTTGGACCCTCCCTACAACACACATTTTTTTCCTTGCTTTCCCTTCTGTATAAGTAGCAATGAAGCAACTGCACTCTAAAGAAACACGGGAGAGGTTCTCATAAACTACCCTGTTTTCTTCCACTCAGAGGTGGATACTTCCTTCTATAAATCCAGGCCAAATCTCATGCTTTCATCAAAACGACAAAAGAGACAAGAGACCCAGTGTGGTCTAGTGGTTAAGCCATGAGCCTAGAAACAAGAAAAATGTGAGTTCTAGTCCCAATGTAGGCATGAAAAACAACAGGGTGACTTTGGGCCACTCATCCTCTCTTAGCCCAATTCCCTTCATAGGGTGGCTGTTGTGGGGAAAAAATAGGAGGACAAAGAATATTAGGTATGTTTGTGCCTCGAGTTATTTAAACAAATAATAAAGACAGGATAAAAAAGAAACACTACAAGACTGTATATGACATTTAAAAAAACACACAACTTGAATTGGGACACAGTGATGCCATTTTCATCATCTGATTTCCTTGTGGCTACCTCTGAAAAATCTACGCGACTAGGCCCTATGCTAAATGCAGAATCAAAGAACTATAGCTCCTTCATGATTTAGCACAGAAAACCAAACAAGACTTTTAAATTACCCAACAATGTATTTCACTAATGTACTTGGCTCACTTTCAATTGCTCCCCATTATTAAAGCATAGCAAAACATGTAAAAATGATTAATGAGATTTTAATGAAGAGAAGCTGCCAGAGAGCAAATGATGTCCCACTAAGCTTTTTGTTTTCTAGGTTCTGCTGCTCATGTCTTTTATCTGCCGCAGGATCTACACACATTAGTTGTAACCTCAGTGCTAATCAAAGGAACTAGAACTTCACAAGGGGAATCCGCAATAATGTGCCACAGTGCAAAATGTTACTGTTCAGAAATCTAGACTGTCACGATAGCTTCCACATCTTTTCCAAGATACTCCACAATATCCTACTATGCTAATTACATTCTAAGACCACAAAGTTTGGCTAATCTTTACTGCAGAGGTGGGGAACTCTGGCCCCTTTATGACTTATGGACTTTAACTCCCAGAATTTCTGAACCAGCATGGCTGACTCAGGAACTCTGGGTGCTGAAGTCCACAAGTCATGAAAGGGCCATTGTTCCCCAGATTGGCTTTAGTGGGTTGTCTCCTTTCCAGTGGTGGGATTCAAATTTTTTTTACTACCAGTTCTGTGACTGTGACTTGGTGGGTATGGCAGGCAGTGGTGGGATTCAAATTTTTTTACTACTGGTTCTGTGGGCGTGGCTTGGTAGGCATGGTAGGGAAAGGATACTGTAAAATCTCCATTCCCTCCCCACTCCTGGGGGAAGGTTACTGCAAAATCCATTCCCTCTAACCTGCTTTCCAGCTCTGTTCTCCTGTGCAGGGCAACAAAAGAAGACCCAGCCAATCAGCTGGACTTGGGAGGCAGAGAATAGATGGGGGTGGGGCCAGTCAGAGGTGGTATTTGCCAGTTCTCTGAACTACTCAAAATTTCCACTACCGGTTCTCCAGAACTGGTCAGAACCTGCTGAATGTTATATATACAGTATAATCTATGCTGGGTTTAATAATTGCTATGTAGGAATGAATATCTACCTTTCAGAGCTTTTTCTGTTTAATACAAAGGAGAAACTCACTCTGTCTCTGCTCATTTTATACATTCAAAGCAAGTCACCTGACTAGTGAAAACAGAAATCATCCACATACTTAATACATTTCTCTGTGTTTATTAACATGAATTTCTTGACCAACATGATTATGTTGTATAAATATGTGAGAGCATGAGGTCATTCGGATTATAAAGATGTAAGAATGAAAGTTTAAAGCCAATAAGACATTTTAAATTGGTGAATATTTTACACCAGGAATTATTTAAATTCTGTGATTAGCAAATCCCAGTAATTACAATTATGTATTATGCTTCCCAGATTTAAATGAATGATTCTTAAAATATTTAATTTGGCTTTTACTTTGCCTTAAGATTGTAATTTGCATATATTCGCAATATAGAACTTGACAGATCCATAAATTGGGGACAAGAAATTTCATGAACAAAGCCCAAATAGTATAATCAAAACTCATCTTGAAGAAAAGTGAAGGTTCATGCAACACTTACGTACATGGGTCAGACTTGGAGAATGTATCTTTATCCAAAAGATTCCTGCGGGGTGGGGGAGGAAAAAATAGAAAGGATTATTTAGGACCTGAATAGATGAGTTTTCACTTGAAAACTGAAAAAACCCTCCCTAGCTGCTTTTTTTCCACCGATTCTCAACTATTTTTTTAAAATAATAATATTAACTGTTTGTTTTTCAAGCAATTATATATAACCTCTAATCTTTGAGCTCTGTTGAAATTGCCAAAGCAACTATCAGAAGTAACCTAGATAATTAGAGCTGCAGAATCAGACCATATAAATAAATACACCAAAGACAAAGGAGACTGGGTTTCTCAGACAAAGTCTCATTCAAACAAGGTGTCTTTTTGCTTACAATGAGTCAGTAGCCATCCTGACTCAGCAGGCAAGTCTACAGGCTAAGAATATTTGATTGCCCAAGGAAATACTCCAAACCAGGGGTGTCAAACTCATGGCCCGTGGGCCGGATGCATCACATGCTGGCCCCACCCCTGCCCGGTTTAGCAAAAGGGAAAGAAGTCCCGATAGATCATGTGACAACACTGTGAGGCCGTGAGTTTGACACCCCTGCTCCAAATCATAGTTACCATGCTTGGTATATAGAAGAACTGTATTTGTAACAGAATGGCTATTTCTAGCTTATATGCTGCCTAACATTAGCCAAGCATTTTCTCATTCACTATTGCTTATGAACATGTTTTCTCTCTTCAGAAAAAAAATACTTCCTTGCAATCTATTCAGTGCTTCATATTATCTCTCAGGGCCAGTTTAATCAACTTCCCTTAACTGGCACTTTTCAGATAAGCTGGAATACAGCTCTAATAATTTCAATTAGTATTGCCTTTGCCCGTTATGGCCAGGGAAGAAGAAAGTTGAAATCTAACACACCTGCAGAACACCAATTCAAACTATGGCCAAAGTATAGGCATCAATACTAAAGCACATGCAAATGAACCCAACTGGAGGAAATATCATTAACGTAATATTAAAATAGTTGCTTTGCAAAATGAGCCAGCACTGAAAGCACATTAGTTAAGATGTCTGATTTCCTTTCTGCTTTAGCTATTATTCTCTAAAAGAAATTGTCAAGGAATTATTCCAAATTTCACTATAATTTAGAAACCATTAATTCATCCTTAATGGAAATTCACATGTCTCAATCTTCAAAATGTTTATTCCTGACCTTCTAGAACCCACACAAAATTTTAATCATTCTGAACCAATATGCTTAGTAATCATTCAAGAATAGTTTAAGCAACAGCTTCAGATAGTGTTGCCTTTAATAATTCTATAAGTAGTAGAAAAAGAAAGAATTATCTAGCCAGGTAAGAAATTATGTTGCTTTGGCACTTTGCACCAGTGTTACTACTGCCCAATTCACACTGTCCTTTTCACAGCAGATTCACAAATTTTTGATGGCTAAAAATGGACTATATATTTTCACAAGTTATACCTTGATAACTGATGATGTAAAAAATGTTAAAGTTGTTTCTTTCTTTAAAACTTAGGGGGCATTTTTATTCTCTGCCAGGTGGTGTAATCTTTCTTAAAGTTGTCATAAATCTCACAATTCTAAAATTTTGTCTCAGGAAACTTTCTAATAACTTTATTTCCTTCAAGAATGTGCCTGTTATAAAAATTCTAATAACAAGTATGGCAACTTTTCTAAGAGCTGCCAGGCACTTTGCAGTGCTGAATATAGTCTGAAAACATCAAAATAAGACATAATAGTGTCTTATTGTAATGTTTTCAGGCTATATTCAGCAGTGTAAGTGCTGGACAGCTCTTAAAGTTACAGTACTCATTACTGGGATTTATATTTGAAAATAGGCAAATTCTTGAAGGAAGTAAAGATCATAAAAGTGTATAGGATTCTTTGCTGATGTGGTTAAATTTTAGATTCTGCACTAATGGCATATTGTGCCATCAATGAATAGCAGAAATAATGAAGGATTAGAAAGAGCTTAATAGCATTCCAGTTTCAGAGCCAGGCCTTTCAATAGCTTATCTTTTAAGCGCACAAGAACACCAATTAAATGTAAGATGATACACATACTGAATGCAGAGGGAGTTTGTTTCAACTCCTTGGCACACTTCTTTCTAGAAGAAATCTTTCACTACTTTAAAGACCAAAAAAAACCCTTCAGGGATCACAGCAGGTCAGGCATTTGGGCAAGGGAGGAGGCAGCTCTGAGTCAAAAGAACTGGGTAGATCAGTAACCCGGGCACTCAAATAAGACTTATCCGTTTCCTATGTGATTCCCACTAGGGGAGTCTTCCTCAGTGTGGTAATCTCAAAGAGCTTTGGGAATACAGTTCCCAGGATTTATAGCCAGCATGGCTGAAATCCTGGGAGTTGTAATTTCAACTCTTCTAGAAGACACTGTGGTGATGAAATCCAAGGCAAGGTGGGAATGCAGAAGGCAGTAGAAGATGCATCAGTCATATTGGGGAGATTAATATTCAGATTCAGGTACAAGAAAGTGAGTCACTCATTATTATTCATTCTTAAGACTCAAATATTTAGCATCCAGAGAATAATTATTTATCTTCTTCTTTTAGGATGTGATACCCAGCTATTAACCAAGAAAACCTTCCTCCTCTTTTTTTTTTTTTAAATAAAATCATAATCAAGGGAGTGGGGGGAAGTCCCCTTGGGATTCTGGAGAAGCTGACTCTCCAGGAGTGCAAATAGAAGAGAGCAGACTAGAAAGGTTAGGTCTGCATATCTCTATGCGTGTATGCATGGTGTGTGTGTGTATGTGAAGAGCTATGAAGGATGTCCCAGAACTTATTGTAGAGAATAGAACTCATCTTTGAGCTTTCATGCTTAAGCTACACATTTGATCTGCAAGCAAAGAGTATAGATAGTATAAAGAAGGAGCATGATTTCTAAGTAATGCCCCAGATACTCTTTTCCACATGACCCCTGGCATTCTCTGGAGTGATTGAAGATAGGGGACCTTGTGGGTCAGACACTTAAAACAGCTCTGCTTTTCCCCCTGGAGAATCCCAGGACTTTCAATTATAATTCGCTTTCATTGAACAGGATGCCCTATCCCATACTGACAAGCTGCACTCACTGCTTGGGTATTATGAACTGAAACAGGAAAATGTGTGTAGGCAGCTGCTATGTATTATTCGAATGACCCACAAATCAAGAGAAAGGCACAAATCAAGAGGGGAAAAAAATAAATAAGCCATGCTGCTTCGCTTCTGCATTAATATAGCTACTTTACAAGCAGATTTTTAAATACCAGAAAGTGTGGGGCGAAGAGCGGCACTGGAAAAAGAAATCCAAATAAATACAAAGGATGAAAATTTAGACATATAATAATTTCATTATTAGGAGATCCATTTGTTCTACTGTTATTAATGTTGGTTTAATAATCTCATCACTGCCAGCCCTACTACTGAACAGAATGAGACACTGCATTTGTCAGACTTAACACTCAGGCTTGGCAGGAAACCACAGATTTCTAGACCCTTAGCTCAGTTCTTGGCTAGAGTTGACAGAAGCCTTCAAGACACAGCACAACTAGTTTAGAATTTTTATTGCAGACAAGAAGAAGAGGAAGAGGAAGAGGAAGAGGAAGAGGAAGGAGAAGAAGAAGAAGAAGAAGAAGAAGAAGAAGAAGAAGAAGAAGAAG